TCAAGGACGCTTCAGAATCTGTTTCTATTTCCTAACCTGCCCCCCCTGCAGTCACCTAATGACCAGCGACGCTCCCGACATGCTCGCAGATTTAACACATCGCCGCTCTGCCGTCCCCGTAGCTCGCCATCTGTTTACGCCGACAACTTCCAGAGACGTGTTTCAGTTCATTGACTTGTTTTTCTATCAGTACAGCTGCACACTCACATGGTGCCAAAGGTTCTTATTAAGAGATTTATAATGCAGAAAAGAGTTTCTCTCCATGAAGAAGATCTGCTGTCGCGTTCAAAACGACGGGCTTTGATTTACTTCATTTAAAAGCACAGCATTTGTGCACTAAAATATTAAATATGTATTTGTACATTGGTGTGTGTGGGAAGGTAGGAGGGTCTTCTTTCTGCCTTTTCATCCTCTAACAATCACTCCCCTGATAGATATAAGATTTGTTAAAGTCTGGGTATCTTGAAGGGTCCACATTGGAGTTGACATTATTTCCCATCATGCTCCTGATGGAAATTAACTTCAGGATTAACGACAAGTCATCATAACACCAAACAAACAAGAAACCTGCAGAGCTCCACCACGGCTTACAAAGTCAGTTGGTGTAACCGTGACTTGAGTCAGACTCGCCTGCAGCCATGGGACACATGAAGAGATATTATATATGATATTTTATATATATATATATATATATATATATAGAGAGAGAGAGAGACTGCAGCACATGATGTAAACATCAGGAACATACTGACATATAAAGCTGGACTGTTGATCTCAAACAAAGCTCCAGGACATATTGATGCTCGTTGCTTCCAACTTGAGCTGATGCATGCTAACCTAAACTCAGGTCCATGTGACGTTGTCAACACTGAACTTTTCTCCTTTAACAAACTGATTATCGGGGGACAAGGAGCTCAAACCCTGCAGCAAACACTCGGCTTGTAAGGGTCTCCAAAAAATGGATATCACGAGTTTAAAAACAAAACTGTTATTTAAATGATCGATAGAATAAAAAGCACAGAAACTACTTCACAGGGCAGGTGTGTAGGAGAGTTAGCTAGCATGGCCCGTGTACGGAGGTTATAGTCCTTCAAGCAGGCGGCCTAGGTTTTGAATCCGGCCTGCGGCTCCTCTTCTGCATGTTGACGATTGTCTCGACGTATTTTTTCCAAAATAATCCTCAAGTGTTTTTGGTGTTCCTGATCGAGTCAGGGCCTCACGGACCTGGGATCCTAAATATCAAAAATGTTTGAGATCTACAATTCCGGGGGAAAGCCGGATCTGGAATCGTAGATCCGGCTTTCCCCACAACTGAATACCCGCAGCAGCCAATGAGAGCGAGCAGACACAACTGAACCCTGAGCCGAGTGAGATACTGAAGAAGAGGAGCAGCTGGTGTAACTATGGCAACAACATGAATGTCTTTATAACGTCTCATGAAGACAAACCGCACAGCCAGCTGACCACGTCCATCGTCCTCCATGTTTGTAGTTCTGTGAGATTGTGACTAGTGACTCGCGGTCGGAATCGTCTCGTGTGCGCGCTCAGAGGATTATAATGTTAAAAACCGTCCTCATCAGCCACACACAAAAACCAACTCACAGAATTCAACAAAATATACTCCACAATTCTCACCACCATTTTGATGCCGGTGAGTTGATGCCACGGCAGAACCAGGCAGCTAAACGAGGAGGAGAGAGGGAATCAGCACAACAATTTGAATATCATTTACAAACAGCCTGTATTTGGCAATCATCCTGTTAGCACCCATACAACACTGGTACAACACTGCCTCTCTTCTCTGCTCTTTACATTACTTGCTGCTATTTATCATACCAAGTCACTTTAATCATCACTTGTCACTTTATCTTGTCTACTAGATAAAGATTGTGCTACTATACTGTCCTCCATATTTTTCTTTGTCCTGTTTGCTCATTTACTTATTTTGTCCCTCTTTCTAATTCATTCATTTTATTTACTGACCCTTTTCCTTTTGTTTTGTTTGTTTGTTTGTTTTTGTCTAAATCTGCTTGCAAAACACTTATTGTGTGGGTGTGTGTATGCACGTTTTGGTGAATAAAAGTAAAAAAAAAAAACTGTCCTCATGTCTGTGATCTTGCATGGGATTTTTTTTTGTTACTAAAAACAAGCGATGACCACATATCAGGGGCCTAGTACTTCTACACATCCTGGTGTTGTGACAACCCTCCGTGGTGGAAGCAGTGATAGTGTCGTCGTTGAAGGATTAGTTTACATGTAAATGACCCATTTGAGCATTCATTCATCTCTTTATGATTCAGGGAAAGTGAGGGTTTTTCCCCCCCACATAACAGAAGATGAATGCCAGCATTTGTTCCACATTCATCCACTTCGTGACAGCCCACCACATTCCCAGCGTCATGGCAATCCCCTGTAGATAATATTGCCTTATTTATCACTGTGTGCCAGCAGTCACTCTGTCACTCAAAGTGCATTGTCACAGCAGGAGCCTCTTTGTTTTGTGCTGCACCCCGGTCATCTGCTCCCGTAAGCTAATGTTGATGTGTGAAGCTGCTGTTGTTGCTATCTCAGGTCTTCTTTGTTGAAACGCACAACAGAGGCCGGTGATTACAGAAGGCAACTGGGACATTGTTTTTAGATAGACATGTTGCTGTGGAGGCTTAAAAAATGTTTATCATCCTCTGTTGTGTTGCAGATTAATTGAAAACACACTTCACCATGTTCCTCTAACTCTAACATGTGTCTCTAGTCTGTCTTCAAACCCCCCAATGATGAGAAAAGTCCATCCTCTCCGTCTTTCCCGGCTCCACTTTTCAGAAAATGTGTGCTCAAACAGGGCGTTTGGAGATTTTCCCTCATGACATCACAAAGGGCAGTAGCCCCTCCCCCAGGTGGGTGACACTCCCACAGCTAGGTGTTTGTTCTGCCCTCTGAGTCTGCCTTCTCACCGTAAACAATAGGACATGGAGCGAAAAAGATCAGAGTACACCCAAGCCCTTCCAGAGAGGGGGCGTGGTCAGACACAGCTCATTTACATATTTAAAGGTACAGACACAAACAGCCTGTTCTGAGCAGGGCTGAAATAGAGGGGTTTATAGACATGATCAAATACAGGATCAGAGTGGATTTAGAACAAGACACTTCACACACATGTTTTGAGGAGCTCTGAGACTTATTTACACTGAAGAAGAGGAGGATGATATGTCACCTTTAACATTTCTGAGTGAAATTCAGCTGTGTGGGTTCACATATGAAGCTCACCCTGAAAATGTCAGTATGTGTTTTTAGGAGTTTTGTGCAGGTGTGACAGAAGTTACAAAAACAGGATCTTTTTGTGGACTTGCTCTCATTGGCTGCAGCCATTACATATAATTTTTATAATTTTTAAATTCTATATAATGCCAATACTCACCCTTTAATCAACTCTGTGTGTCTGTTCACACTTTGGTCTGTTTGCTGCAGACATCCTCGCTCACAAACCTCAAACACCATACTTAATGTATCGGAACCATTTTTAGCCCTTCTTTGGCTTTTGTGCTTAATAAGGCTTGACCTTTTCAATAAATATGAGCAGCTGTCATGTTTGGTGTCAGAGGTGTTGAGGTTTCATACAAATAACCAGAGTCAGCTGCTGATGATTCAGAGACACACACAAACAGGCTTCCTCTAAAAGAGGAAGTGTTTACTTCCTAGCTTCTTGTTCCTGCTGCTGCCGCCGCTGCAGCTGAAATGTTGCATCCATTGATCATTCCCACTCTCCCATATAATCTGCCCGCACTGGCCCAGGAAACACTCACACAACCAGCCAGGTCTGCTGGGATCCTCTCCGAGGAGTTTGGGCGTAAAGTAGTGGCGGCGTTTGCCTCGTGACTTGGCAAGTTGTAGTTTTAATGCAGGTTGCTGTGCCTCCATGTTTTTATTGGCTCCAAGAGATCTATGACCTGCAATAACAAGAGCAGCTTGTCTTTCAAAGAGGGAAGAAGGTTAACTTTGCTTTTATTGGTGTCAACGCTGTAGACAAACAGACACACCCTTATTATTCTGAACTTTTGAGAAACTTGAGTACAAAGATGTCATACAACGCTACACGAATATTTACTCTCCTGCAGTGTAAAAAATGCAAATATTTGAATACAATACGAGACATTTGTTCAAAACGTGTCACATAGAAGTACATGCTAACACCTGGACTTACATGAAAACACCTGGACGTACAGGTGAAGCCCTGCACTATATCAGCTGTTGTGACGCTCTTGCTGATCATGAACCTGTGTATTCTGACGTGCCGCCTCAGACTCACCTGTTCTATTAATGACTTATGCAGAAGTGTAAATTTGAAGAGCTCCATTTCAGCTCAAGGTCAGTTAGTTTAAGAGCAAACATCCTCAGAGCGCCCTGCAGTCACACTCTCGCTTTGTTCAGGAAATTCTTCAAGTATTTTTTAACCTTTTCTTTGGACGCCATCCTGGAAGCTAAAGGTTATTTTTGACTGGACTGTTTGTCTTCATTGGAACAAAAAAAAAAAAATATCACACTAACTGAACACGAGAGGAGCTGGGAGAAAAGAGCGAACGCTATCAGAAAGGGGAATACAGTAGAACATATGAGCCAGTCAGAAGGAGCATGTGGGTCACCCTGCACGCGCTCAGTACGGTGTTTGCAGGTGAAGCCCAGGCCGCTGTTCTCCTGAGCATGCAGAGTGGCTGCTGTGGTGTTAATGGGCCCGTGGAGGGGGTGCTAATTGATTCATTCTCCCTGCTCTCGTTCTCATTAACACCCGTTCCCAGGGTAGCATGTTTCTCTCCAGGTGTCGTCCCCCCCCCCCCCCCCCCCCCCCCCGCCTCCTGTGTGTCCCTTCGTCCCTGCAGCTTGACTGTCAGGAGACAGGCTGCAGGGAGAGTCCCAAACCCCGGGCAGGGATCAGACACAGGGTGGAGGTGGAGGAGATGTGGTTATTGATTGAGGATATTAATCCATTTCTCCCTCTTCTCTGTCCACAGTATTCGCAGTGTGATGCAGAAGTACCTCGAGGAGAGAGACGAACTGACGTTTGACAAAATATTCAACCAGAAAATCGGTAAGTAAAGACATCTTAACGACATTAGAGGAGAAAATACAGTCAGAGGAGTCAAATGTCTTCCTTGAACTGGCGACCATCTGGTTCCCAACAGTCCCTAACCACTGAGCTACCGCCGTCCCGATTGTTGATGAACATAATCAGTGCTGTTTGTGATGTTGGCGACTTCCCTTGCGGTCATGAAGGTGCATGATTCAGCATTTTATACTTGGTCTCACAGATAGGGCTTGGAGATATGGACCAAAACTCATATCTCAATATTGTTTAACTGAATGGAGATACTCGATATATATCGATGTCTTTTATTAAAAGTGAAAACTTTTACATGAAAAATAAACGACCTGTTTGTGAATTTAAAAAGTAATATTACAAAAATACAAATGTTGCTTAAATACAATAAAAGAGAGAGAGAGGAGGAGCAGACAGTCAGTCATCATCAGTGAGATGAGAAGAAGGAGACCTGGCACCTCTGTAACGTTATTTTAATGGAACATAAACTATATCCATATTAACGATATCGTCTTACTCTATATCTTGTTTGAAAATATATCGATATATCTTAAAAACTCGATACATTTCCCGCCCTACTCACTGAGTTGGAGTTGGAAATCAGGGATAGAGAGAGAGAGGGGAATGACATGCAGGAAAGGAGCCACAGGCGGGATTTGAACCTGGGCTGCCCGCTTAGAGGACCATAGCCTCCATACATGGGGCGCGCCACCAGCCCCTCAAAGAGACTGTTTTTTTTTCTAATACACCAGACTTTACGGTTATCCTCTGACTTCTCCTCATGAGCCACTCTCAGGCTAAGTTTGTGGTTTTGAATCTGGCTGCTACAACGAGGACTATAGCATCCGTACATAAGCGCTAGGCTATGCAGCGCCCTGTGACAGATACTTTTAATCTACATCTTCTGTTGTTCCTCTCCTCTGACAGCTAACTGATCTTTTTCATGTTGTGCTGCTCTCAGCTTGTTCCAGATGTTTTGTGTTCATTACTGTGTGCAGCAGCAGTGAAGTAATGTGCACCTTCATGTGTAGATATGAGATCCTGCACGTCGATTGTTGTCGGTCAAAGGTGAGCTGTTATCTGCCTCTCTGGGATTCTTCCATTACTGCTTCCTCCCCTCTGATATCCTCACTCGCAGCGCTGAGTGGACACATTAGATCCTCCGCAAACTCATCACCTCTTTCCTCGTGTGTACACCTTCACCACTCGAGATAATCCGCTTAAGTCTTGACACACTTTAAAAACTTTTTGCTAAACCGCAGAGCTCATATTGAATAAAAATGCCTCCTCTCAGATTGTTCTGGAGCACAAAGTGTTCCATGATTGAGATGAAAATCAATGCATTTTATAGATGACAAAGTCCTTATTGACTTCACTTTATCGGTCCGATTCTTCATCGATTCCCTCATTGATTCATGATCAATGTTTTTGTGTTGAGAGGGGAAAAACAAGGTCAAAGTACGCACGTGTGTTTTTATTGATTAATGGAAGGAAGCTAAGCAAACGTAGCAGATTCAGTGTTGAACTTTGACTCTGAGTGGTTTCATCATGTTGAGAAGAATACTACACTTCGGCCATGGATGTCGACGTGTCTTAGTGGCAATTAGATGAGCGTTAGAAAATGAAGAAGAATGGAGACGAGGAGCTGATGTTTGAAATGATTTAATGAACTTGTTGTCATGGAGTTGAAGCTGCATTCAAACGTCCTCTGAGGAAAAGCTTCAGTGCATGTGGAGGTTGTTTTCATGCTGAGACGATGTGTTTGTCTCAAGTCTTCATCCGACTCATAGAGCAGGAGAGAGAGAGAAGAATATCATGAGTAATATTTCTAAAAACAAAAGCACGTCACATGTCAGTCAGTCTCTGCTCTCTATCAAACCCTCTGCTCTAACATCCAGACCATCTGTTCCCCTAAATCCACTTTCTCTGTGATCATCATCTTCTCTGTAACCTGGGCAACAAGTCTGTGATCCCAGGACAATCAATCACTTTTTTAAAAACCTCCAGACGGATCGATCTTACCTCTAATCTTTTTCTTGTAAAGGTAACTTTCTGCTTTGACAAACAGCAAAAACAAGAACAAACTAAACCAAACACAGAAGAACATAAACAACAACAAGAACAAACAAATGCTAAATACTAAAAATAATTAAATACAATTCAACAGAAAAGAACCCAAAGTGCACGATACCCAACAGACATATAGAACCCAACCATCACAAGAACCATCACAAGAACCATCACAAGAACCATCATAAGAACCATCACAAGAACCATCATAAGAACCATCACAAGAACCATCACCATTATAAGAACCATCATAAGAACCATCACAAGAACCATCATCCTAAGAACCATTATATGAACCATCACAAGAACCATCACAAGAACCATCACAAGAACATCCTAAGAACCATCATAAGAACCATCACAAGAACCATCACAAGAACATCCTAAGAACCATCATAAGAACCATCATAAGAACCATCACAAGAACCATCAACACGAGCTGAGACCAAGAGGACCAAAGATTTAAAAAGATGTAAGAAACTAAAAGAGCTCAAAGCAAATCAAAAGAGAACAGCAGGAAGTGTTAGCGTCCAGCTGTGTCCATGCATCAGTTCTTCTTCTCTGTTAAATAAAAAGTATACATCAGATATCATAAACTTCTTGAAGATGTTTTCCCCTCCCGTCTGTCACAGTGCTGGATGTTTGAACTTATCTAAAGTAACTACTTGATTTTGAATTGATATCTTTCAACACTTCTTGATGCAGACTTCATTTTGTGTTTGTGAGCTGGTTCTTGTTTGTGTTCAGCGTTGTTGACGCAGCGGTTGATTCAGAGAGCCGCATGCTTCCTGCTTCCTCCTGCCCCCGCTGTCTGCAGCCCTACGTGCCTCTGCGCCGGCTCCTCAGAGTGTTTCCTCTTTTCGCAGACGGGCACTGTGCCGCTGGTTGTGGACGTACCAGGGGACCACCGCCGCCCTGCAGGCTTCTTCTTGATTTACTTACTGTTCTGGGCCTCAGCCCCCCTGTGAGAACAGACTGCGTTAATTCTGCCTGCTTCTCTTTACCTCTGTCGCACGTGTTGCTCTCCTTCCTCCTCTCTTACTTCCTTGTTCCTGTTCCTGTTCGACCCCTCCCCAGGTCACAGTTTAGTCTTCTACCAGCAGCTGTTGCATGTTTAAAAACTGCTGGTCCACACTCGGACAAATACTTGTAGCAGCGATTTGTGCTTTTAAAAAGTATAACAGAAATGCCAAAGAGGCCTCTGCCCTCAGCCGCTCACATGTGAAGGTTGTTGTTTGATTTCAGTGTAAACCGAATCTCTTTTGGTTTTCTGGACTGCAGCCCGGACAAAAGAGAGCTTTCTGATAATGTCCCCTCGGCCTCTGGGGAACTGTGAATGTCACCGTTTTCTGACATTTAATAGAACAAAAGGTTAGTTCATTAATTTAGGGAAACAGACCAATAGAGGATGAAAATATTTATCAGTTGCAGGCCCGAGAGACGAAGTCATTGCTTTACTTTTTTATTGCTGTTGATGATGTTTGGACAGAGTTTCAGGAACTGTAAGTAATATGTGTGTTTGTATCAATGCTGCGTGTAGTGTAACAGAATCTCAATGTGATCTAAAGAGAGGAGAAGAACATCCTGGAGAACAGGAAACATGCAGCAGCAGGTTGATTAGAGCACGGAGATGGTAGAGGTGGCGTGCAGACAGTCTATGGTCGTGCAGCGATCACAGGGAATAAAGGTCACCACCCCCTCCCACTGGCCCCTCCCACTGGCCCCTCCCACTGGCTCCAGGTGAATTCTCCTGATTATATCCTGCTGTGTTCTCACATCAGCTCACCCTGACTTTCTGCAGAATAAACACGAGGAGGCTGGAGGAGAAACTCTGAGTGAAGAGAGAAACATTCAGATGTTTGAGTTCACACATGACACTCAGATTGAAAATATCTGGAGTGTTTCAGGAGTTTTTCTGTTGTGTGAAAGCATTTATTTTTTTTGCATATCAGAGTTTTCACAGCTAATGACTTGTTGCAGCGGGGAGAGATTTGAACATCACACAGGGTAACCACGCCCTCTGCAGCAGATCTACCTGAGACTGACTCTGTGTTCACCTCTCTACTGTACACTCCAGTTGAGTTTCATTAGAGACACTTTCTTCTTCAGTTTGTTTTGAACCAAACATGAACCGGCCATGATTCCCTCCACACAATGAAGCCTTTCAGCAGAGCTGCACAAATCACACATTGTTATAAAACAGAAAAGGTTAGTCAAACAACATCAACATTTCACCTCCGCCTCACTGAAGTCCTTCTTCAAAAAAAATACCAACATTTTCTCACAACGTTTTGGATTCATTCATTTAAATGAGAAATGGTAGCTGCTCCTTAGCAGCTGCTTGCAGGCTGCTGTAGCTCCAAACACTTCCTGCACTCGGCTGGTGTCTGAGTTTTAAAAACATGAATACGTTTGAGGTACGACGGATCGTTACCGACAAAAACTAAAGACAATATTTGATAGGTTCATCGCTGATCATTTGAATTCTTAAGGCTGAATGCGCCCCGGTTAAAGCTGGATAAGGATAATGGAGGTTTCTGTCATGTATCACCACTGACCTTTGCTGCTGTAACTAGAAAAGAAACCCAAATGCTCGTTTCAGCTTCTCAAAGCTCGCCGTCTTCAGGTGAACCTTGTAAACTAATCCATTTAGTATTTACCTGAATGCTCAGCAGGCAGCAGGCCGTCCCCACCAACACTCCAGAGGAACCTACAAGACATGAGAGCTCAGCAGCTCCCAGGAATATATGTGGTCAACTAAGATTTACAGATGGTGACATGCAGCGATATGATGCACAGAGAGAGAGAGAGAGAGAGAGAGAGAGAGAGAGAGAGAGAGACGTCACGGCTCTCGTCTCTGCTGGTCATTAGTCCAGCTCTCAGATCTCATTAGTGAGACTGGTAGAAAACACTCGTTAGGA